TGAGAAACAGCGAATTATATGGATTGCTACAATTAATTCTACATGGAAAAGTTGAAGGAAAACGAGGACCAGGAAGGTGAAGTATTTCCTGGCTGAAAAAACTACGTACGTGGTTCAACACAACAACCACAAATCTTTTAAGTGCAGCAGCGTGTAAAATACAGATTGCCATGATGGTCGCCAACATCCGAAACGGATAGGCCCTACAAGAGGAAGAAGAAGAGAAATTAATTGGTGGCCATCAGTCGGATTTTCGGAGACGAGAAGACCGTTCCTGATACCGAACGAGAGCACCAAAGAAAATTGGAATAGAAAGTGGAATACTCAGAAGAAAGTCTGTTACGGAGGAAGATCAAGGAAAATTAAATATTGTTACGAACATGCTTTCGGCATGACTCATATAACGGTTACATCTCGAAACGGCTTCCAGAATCATCCTTAGATCTCTCGAAGGCAAGAGAACAATGGGCCACGTGCGCGAATTAGAGGTGGGAACTTTCTAGAACATAGTAACTTAGGTATATATATGTAACGACCTTAGGAGTTAGTTTAGTTGATAAGAAAATACCGAACTGTAAAGTTATAAATAAATATATTTATATAAATTCGAACCGCCCGTTTTATTTAAAAACGGTACAGTTGGTGTCACCGTGTGAGGACAATTGATTTGAATATAAATTCAACAGTGATTTAAAAAAAAAAGACTTTTGAACTTTTGAAAAGTATTGTTTGTCGGGAACATCCGCGTAGTTCAGTAGTGATCGTTGTACGAAAGAACATTTAAAAAGTACGTGTGTGCCTGACCAAAGATGCTGTTAGTAGAACTTTCAGTGAAACAGTTGCGTGAGCAACTAGAAGAACGCGATGAAGACTGCAGCGGGTCCAAGAAGATCCTCCAAGAACGACTGAAAAATGTTCTTAACAATAATGGAGATGACCCAGATACATTCCAGTTTCAATCAGCAGAAGAAGCAGTTTTAACAAAAATAATTGATGGAAAATTTGAAAATGTGTCGCATATGATTGAAGAATCTTCTAAAAAAAATGATGATAAATTCGAGAACGTTTCCAAAAGATTCGATGAAACGTCTCAAATTATTAAAGAAGTAGCTAGACAAAACGACGAGACTTCACAAATTATTAAAGAAATATGTAATCAGAACAATGAGAAATTTGAAGAAATGTCTAAAACATTCGATAAAGTAGAAGAGAAGATCAAACAGAGAGCATGATAACTAACACGAAAGTGCTACCACTAATTAATACGGTAGCTTTAGATCCGGTAGTGAAGGAAGAATCATCTAGAGACGAAATGACACATAATATGAGATTCAAATTACCACCATTTGATGGAAAGTCCTCTTGGTCCATATACCTTAGACAATTTGAAGCTATTGCGACAGCCAATCATTGGACAGAACAAGAAAAAGCTGTTTCCTTGACTGCTGCTTTACGAGGTGATGCTGCAGATATCCTAAGATCGATTCCTAAGGGTCAAGAAAAATGTTACCAGACTTGTTCACTCGACTAGACAAACGTTACGGAGATGCCCATCTACAACAAGTCTACAAAGTACAAATAAGAAGTAGAATTCAACGAGCAAGTGAGAGTTTGCAAGAATTTGAAGCAGATATTGCTCGTATAGCGCTGTTGGCCTATCCAGAGGCACCAGACAACATTTTGGAAGAAATTGTTGTAGATGCCTTCGTCAATGGGTTGAGAGACATTGAACTACAGAAAGCTTTACGACTAGCAAGACCGAAAGTTTTAGATGAAGCGCTCGCCATTGCCTTGGAACATGAGATAGCTAGTCGAGTTTCACGGAGCTATCAAGTACGAACCTCTGAAGAGAGTGACGAACGAAACGATAAACGTCTGGAGGAAATCGTACGGAAAGTAGTTCGTAACATGATGCCGAAGAGACGTGAACCCAGATGTTGGAATGGTAACAACGAAGGTCACATTCGCCACAAAGTGCAAGAAAATAATACAACAGTGAGAAAGCTAGAACAAATCGAGCACGCTAGAAAAAGTTATTCAAATGCTGATGTTCAATCAAGACGGCCATACAGTGAAAATCGTAATCACTGTCTTAAATTAGAAGAAAGACTTTGCCCCGTGAGACGAACCACCGTCATTAATGATCAATGGCAGCCTCAACAGCTACAAGACGCTCAAGCAGATGATCCATGTATAAAAAGAGTATTGGATTGGATGCGTCGAAGTGAAAGGCCCTCTTGGCAAGACATTAGTGCATGTAGTCCTGAAGTCAAGTGTTACTGGAGCCAATGGAATTGCCTAGTGTTAAAAGATGATCTTCTTTATAGAACCTTCGAGAACGATGATGGTACAGAATCTAAGCTTCAGTTGATTGTACCTAAAAGTAAAGTGTCAGAAGTATTGCGTCAGTTACATGACGGTGCATCAGGTGGACACTTTGGTATTACGAAGACTCTGCAAAAGGTTCGAGAACGGTTCTATTGGGTGAACTGTAAAGATGATGTAAGAAGATGGTGCCGGAAATGTGAACTGTGTGCAACCAGTAATGGTCCAGTTGGTAAAAAGAGGGCACCCATGAAACAGTACAATGTTGGTAGTCCTATGGAACGAGTAGCAATCGATATTGCAGGTCCACTTCCAGAGACAAATGATGGAAATAAATATATCCTGGTAGCCATGGATTATTTTACGAAATGGACTGAGGCCTATGCGCTACCAAATCAAGAAGCTGCTACCGTTGCAGAGGTACTTGTTAGGGAGAGCGCCCACCAAAGTGGTATGGCAGTGGCAAGTAGCAAGTAGCACGCGTCTAGCATAATGTACCCAATCCTAACGAATGATTAGAATGAATGACGTTACTGTCATTTTGGTGTAAACTGAATTATTCGTTTTTATTGGTTACATTATGCTAGACGCGTGCTACTTGCTACTTGCCACTGCCACGCCACTTTGGTGGGCGCTCGCCCTTAAAGAATTCTTTAGCCGATTTGGTGTTCCCTTGGAGATCCACTCCGACCAAGGGCGAAACTTCGAGTCAAACCTTTTCCAAAACGTTTGTAAATTGATTGGTGTCAATAAGACCAGAACGACACCCCTGCATCCTCAATCAGATGGAATGGTCGAGAGGATGAACCGAACGATGGGTAAACACCTGTCCAAAGTTGTATCAGAACATCAAAGAGATTGGGACCAGCACATTCATTTATTCTTAATGGCATACCGCTCGGCCGTGAATGAAACTACGGGCCAGACTCCAACCTGCCTGATGTTAGGTCGTGAAGTTCGTTTGCCCTGCGACCTAGAGTTTGGCTGCAGACCTTCCGAAGAACATGTTGCAAGCGAAGATTATGTCGACCGCCTAAAGTTAAGAATGAACAACATTCATGAACTTGCCCGACAACACATCCAGTTAGCCAGTGACAGAATGAAAGATCAATATGATTCTCGATGCAGGAATGAAAGCTATGAAGTAGGTGATCTTGTTTGGCTTTATAATCCCCAACGTCGTCGTGGCTTGTCTCCTAAACTGCAAAGACAATGGGAGGGTCCGTATGAAATTAAAAAGAGAATAAATGACGTAATATACCGAATTAAGAAGTTGCCGAAAGGTAAACCAAAAGTAGTTCACATAAATCGTCTTGCACCCTATGCTGGCTCAAATGAAACCGAAGAAGTCCGAACCCTTCAAAATAAGATCAAAGATGATCGGCGACCAAGCTTTAAAGAGTTTATGTCAAATTACGCAGAGAGAAAGAGTGCTAGATTCGGCGTGACGACAGAAGTTCAGCAGGATCTTTTTAGTGTTCCGCATAACGTCACTCTAGCCCACTGTGTTGCCCAAGATCTTGAGATGACTAGAGGAATCTCATCCGTATTTTATAAGAAATTTGGTCGCTTGGACGAGTTAAAAAACCAGCAGCCTAAAGTTGGAAGAGTGCTGAGATTGGAAGATGGTTCTCGATCTTTGCTGTATGTGGTGACCAGGAAGTCGTATACAGACAGGGCAACCTACGAGGATATATGCTAACTAATTTGAAGAAAATCGTCTGCAATTACGACATTAAGAACTTGGCTTTACCCAAGATAGGCCATGCACTAGATAATCTGGATTGGAAAATTGTCAGAAGCATGCTTGAAGTGATCTTCCGAGAAACCGGCGTACGAATTACTGTGTGTTGCACAAATCCGAAGAGATTGTGTCCTTCAAAGACAGTAGACTGTTATTTCTTTCTGAGGGGTTCATGCAGAGCTGGAGAGTCCTGTAGATTCCGCCATCCTGGGCCTACATATGGAGTTGCTGATCGGGACGCTCAGATCTAAGAGGGGAGCAGTGTTACGAACATGCTTTCGGCATGACTCATATAACGGTTACATCTCGAAACGGCTTCCAGAATCATCCTTAGATCTCTCGAAGGCAAGAGAACAATGGGCCACGTGCGCGAATTAGAGGTGGGAACTTTCTAGAACATAGTAACTTAGGTATATATATGTAACGACCTTAGGAGTTAGTTTAGTTGATAAGAAAATACCGAACTGTAAAGTTATAAATAAATATATTTATATAAATTCGAACCGCCCGTTTTATTTAAAAACGGTACAATATCAACAGATTGAAAAACACAGCTGTGAACAAAAAGTAATGAAAATTTTTTAAAAAAAGATTGAGCTTAGTTGTCTTGATGTTTATTAAATGAAATTGGCAACTCATTTGACCCCTACAAACAATGGCGAAAACTATCCAAAAATTGATTTTAAAAAACGCTCTTTAACATACATATTTAAAACACTTTGAAACACATATACATAGACATTTAAATAAAATTATGTTAAAATAATTACAAAACATGTATGTAGTCATAATATAAAATTTTTTGGTTATACCTTTTTTTTTTAAACATCCTGTATATACAACAGACTACTTATTTTAAAGGTGATTTAATTTAATTTTTTAAATTGTAGGTTGACACTAATAATGGATGGATATTAGAGATTTTACTTACAGCCATTGCAATTGCCATGTCAGCTTCAGTCACTGTGTCCATTGGCGAAGACACAAATGGTGCTTTGAGGGTAATTTTTTTGGTAAGGCGGCTTGAAATGTCCTAGAAAGAATATTTATACTATAAAATAGCTCACTAAAGTGTGCATTAATAATAAAAATGTTTTATTTCACTATATATAAATACATCGCTGGAAAAAAACTTTGAAAGTTTGAATTCAAAGGTAATATGTAAATAAAATGTAACTAAAAAAAATATTTGCAAGACTCAAAATTTATTTCAGCAGTTATTTCAGTAGCCGTGTTCGCGGAGAATATCCGAAATACACCTATTTTATTACTATTATCATTAGTGAGAAAAGAGATCCAAATTTAATTTAAGAACACACAAAAGGTGGTTGAATAAAAAAAAAATGGCTACAAAACGAAACATTACTTTAATATAACCTAAAAATTGAACCAATTTACACCTAACAACAAGAAATACTCGCAAATTTTACTGATAGATACAAAAGCTCTACCTTCGTTAATTGTGGAGTGAACTAAGTAGCTTTACACCCGACACAGCCAGTCGTAAGGCCGGAAATAAGACAGAAAAGAAGTAGGAGAGAAGAGTAACACCAAGGTTCACTTAGCCTGGATGATAGTACCCTGTAAAGGCTCTTGTCTAGGATACAGGTGAAAAATTATCAACGTCGGATGACACAACGTCAAAAGGCGGACAAACTAGACAGGGTACGCTGATCTCTTAAATTATGGCCGACAATTGGCCTAGAGTAGCGTTCCTTAACCTTTTTCAGTCCATGGATCCCTAGAAAATCAAATGATATCTGAATCATCTGCGTTGAAAGGTTCAGCTATCCAGGTTTTATTTCTGTCAGGTTCTGGAAAATAATCCCGAAAAGAAGACCGCAAACCTCGGAGGTGTTTAATCATTTTTTCTTCTACTTGCATTGGCAACATTTCCCCACCAGAGGATTCCAAAAACGCTACCAGTGTAGGAAAATGATTATAGTTTTTTTAATTGTAAGATTAGTTCAAAGGTCAAATTTTTTATCATAGTTTCTATTTTATCTTTAACCTGAAAGTTGTTGTTTTCTCTTCCTTGTAGACTCGTTAAGGGCACTGAAGAGATCAGTCAAATATTCCAACATTGTAAGCTATTCAAAGTTATTGAAATTATCAGCACGTTTATTTCCATCGGCTGCTAAATTCTTAAAAAAAAGCATTCTGATCTTATCGCTCAGCTCCACAAAACGCGACACGACTTTGCCACAAGACATCCAACGTACCTCAACATGCAACTGCTTGTGAATGCTTCCCATGTGAATGCTTCCAACAAATCATACCCAAAAAACGGGAATTTAAAGGCCTGGCTCTAATGAAATTCACGGCCTGCACCTTATAGCTTGCACTAACGAGATTATGTATTCTCTGTGAATACAACAATGATGACAGATAATAAATCGATTCATCTTCTTTAAGCGCGCCTGAAGTCCTGTTCGTATACCGGTCATAGTACGAGCACCATACGTAACATATTGATCCCACGGTATTTCATGAATGAACATAGCCGCTCAATACTTCAAATATTGCTTTACCTTTAGTATGCGAAGGCAGAGGCCTTCTTCTTCAAGTTCCACTCCTATGGGAGATTGGAAATCATTCTGGCTATTATAATTTTGTTGGTTACGCTCCTGAATAGTTCAATTGAACTGCATCCAAACCATTCACGGAGATTGCGTAGCCACGAGATTTTACGTATTCCTACGCTTCTTCTGCCTTTGATTTTACCTTGCATTATATTCCTTAGTAGTTCGTATTTATCACATCTCATGATGTGCTCCAAGTATTCCAATTTCCTGATTTTTATGGAATTTAAAACTTAGCATTGTTTTCCTAGTTGTTCGAGAACTTGTTCGTTTGTTTTGCGATCCATCCATGATATTTTTAAAATACGTCGGTAACACCACATTTCGAATGCTTCTAGGTTTTTAATGTTGGATTTTTTAAGTGTCCAAGCTTCAACCCCATACAAAAGGGTAGAGAAAATATAACATCGAAGCATTCTTATCCGGAGCGATATATTGGATATCGTGATTACAAAAATGTTTTCTCATTCTATTAAAAGTTGACCGTGCAATTGCAATGCGGCAATATCATATCAATATTCAATATCTTCTGTGATCCATGCTCTAAGGTATTTTTACGAAGATATTTATTCAATTTCTGTATTTTCTAGTACTAGCTTAACTTTGATGTTTTGCGCTTTTGTAAATAACATGAACTTGGTTTTCTTTAAATTTATTTTTAGTCCATAATCGTTGCAATATATATTTAGTTGTTCAGCAAGGTGTTGCAGTTCTTCTAGTGTTCCTGCCAGAAGAACGGTGTCGTCAGCATATCTTATGTTATTAAGTGGCTCACCGTGTATTATAAGACCCTCACTGCTCGGCAAGCGCTAATTCTGAGATGGCTTCACTGTATAAATTGAATAACAAGGGTGATAAAATACACCCTTGGCGGACTCCTCAGCGAATCTATATATCCTCGGTCAGTTCATTTTCAACTTTCACTTTTGCTGTTTGGTTCCAATAGAGGTTACATGTGATTCTAATGTCTTCAAAAAATTTCTTTAAGCCGATTATGCTGCACTCTGTCAAATGCCTTCTTAAAATCAATGAAATAGGTATATACTTCCCGATTAATATCTAAGCATCTCTGTGAAAGAACACTTACTGCAAACAGTGCATCTCGGGTTCCCAGTCCTTTCCAAAATCCCATTTGTGTATTACTTATGGCTTCATCTAATTTCTTATGTATTCTATTGTGAACTACTTTTAAAAACAATTTCAAGACATGACTCATTAAGGCTATGGTGCGATGTTCATTGCACTCCTTTACATTGGCTTTTTTGAGAAGAAGTATGAATGTTGATTGAAGCCATTCTTTAGGTATTATACCTGTTCTATATATGGTATTGAATAGATCCAAAAGAAGATCAATAGATTCAGTATTCACAATTTTGAGTAATTCGATAGGAACTTCACCAGACCCGGGAGATTTACCACCTTTAGCTTGTTTTATTGCATATTTAATTTCTTCTCGTATAATGTAGGGCCCAGTATCATCCTTAAATTCTTTTGGTGCTTTTGTTCTCTCTTTGTCTTCAAAAAGTTGTGCTATATATTGTGTCCATCTCTGCATTTTTTGGTTTATATCTGTTATAAGTGCACCACTTCGATCTCTTAGTTGCCTAGTTTGAAGTGTTTTTCTCATTCCTGTTAACTCTCTAATTCTTTTATGCAAGCTTTTTCTCAATTTCTTCTAGTTCTTAGCACTGCTCATGTAACATTCTCTCCTTAGTTTCTTTTATTCTGTTTTTAATTAATCGATCAGTTTCATTATATTTAATTGGATTTTTTGTTTTGCATGATTTTCTTTCATTCATTAATAGTAGTATTTCTTCAGTCCTCCAGTTTTTATGTTTTCTATTCTTTGGTTTTAAGTTTTCATTTACTGTTTTAATTATTGCTACTTTTATATTTTCCCATTTCTGATCAATTTTATAGCTACTTTTATTCAGTTCTTGGGCTTTACGTAGATTTTCAGTAAGAGTTTTTACAGTTTGTTCCTTTGTTTGTGGTTCCCTTAATCTCTTAATATCAATTTTACTTTGTGTGGATTTTTTAACCAGTTTCAATTTGGTTCGTAATGTGATTACTATGGGGTTATGGTTTGAACCGATGTCTGCTCCAGGGTAAGTTTTGACAGACAGTATAGAATTACGAAATCTTTGTCTAATGTGGACAAAGTCAATTTGATTTCGGATTATTCTATTCGTTGTATCACCGGGAGATTTCCATGTATACAATCTTCTTTTTGGTAGCTTAAAAAGTGTATTAGCTATTACAAATTCTTCCGTCTGGCAAAATTGTATCTAACGGTCACCACGTTCATTTCTAGTTCCTAGACCATATTCCTCCACATATCCATCCACTCTTCCTTGGCCAACTTTGGCATTGAAGTCGCCCATTACTATTGCAGTGTGATGTTTCTTCATTGATTTTAAGACTTGTTCCAAATCATGGTAAAATAGTTCGATATCGTCGTCATCTTTATCTAACGTAGGAGCATAAACTTGAATATAATTTATTATACCTTTTTTAGACTAAAGTTGTATTGATAAGATCCTATCAGAATAAGGAGTAAAACTTCTCACAAAGTAATTGACCTTTTTTGCAACTGAGCCGTTGAAAACCAGAGTGGGTTAAGTCAAGAATTTCATGTTTCGCGTTTTCTCGGTATATAATTCTGTTTAACAGTGTTCTATTTTGCTACAAAATTTGAAAAATATTAGTGCATCCGTTCACTCACAGATGACACTACTGTAATATATGTCAAATGCTATGAAGGTTGCCGTTTTAAGGCAAAATGGTCTAAGTCTGACTTGGACCATTCTGCCAGAAATTATGTCACGATTTTTTTATAAGTGTCACGTTTGCTTGTAGTAAAATGAGTTCTAGTGAATCTGTAAATGAACCGTTTAGTGCTAGTGATAGCGAGTACGAGTCAGAAAACAATGACGATTCAACAGAATCTGATTCTGATAGCGGCAAGTTTATTTTTTTTATTTCCTTTTATAACCTCAAATGTGTGAATAGCAGTATTTTATTTGCACGTTTGTTTCAGCTGACAAACGTTCGAAGTTAAAATTGGGCGAGTACAAGCCAGAAAACAATGACGATTCAACAGAATCCGATTCTGATAGAGGTAAGTTTATTTTGTTATTTCCTTTCATAACCTCAAATGTGTGAATAGCAGTATTTTATTTGCACGTTTGTTTCAGCTGACGAAAGTTCGAAGTTAAAATTGGGATCAACTACCAAGCACGTCGGCAGAAAACGAAATAGAGAGCCAAGTAAACACATCAAGAATGTTCGAAAAGAAAAAAGAAACTGTGAGGAACAATATGTGTCTACATCTAATAAGGTGGTAAAAGCGAAAGAGTTTCATAACAGGGAGTGTACGTGCAAGGGCAAATGCATTCAAAAAATTTCTCAGGAAGAAAAAAAAGCTATCTTTACAAATTTCTGGAACATA